GCAGAAATATAGAGGAACAGTGAAGCATTGTACAATCATAAAATACATAAACATAAAACGAAATATTGATTACATTGGAAATAGGGGTGATTGCAGAATAATACTTTAGCAAGGAGACACAAACAATATTGATGGATGTAATAATGAAGAAATGCTTACAATGGGATATTGGTGGCAGTATAAATATATGTAAGATTGCTTGGTGATGTGAGTATGAAAAGTGAAATGAATATTAGAGAGGGATGGAGTAGAAAGTATTGTAAGAAGAGAAGATATATAGTAAAAAGAGCTATTGAGATGAGAAGCAAGATAGTAGAAGTAAGTCAGTGGTAGAGAGAGGACAAGGATATGTGGATTAGAATGGGGCGAGTGGTGTTAGAGTTGTAAAAACAGGATGGGAAAGGAAGAGAAGGGAGAGTATTAGGATATTGGATAGATAATTTGAAATTAAGTGGACAATGTAGATCAGGATGGATGAAAAAGATTGATGGTTGCTGTGTAAAAGACATTCTACTCTAAGGATACTTAGCTGATATGGAAGTAAAGGGAATGTTTGTAGTGGATGATTGTGACCTTAATGGATGAACAGATTAGATATTTTGTTTATATGTTGGTTTAGTCTTCTCTTTGTACATATGTGTTGTATGCAAGTAACCAATGTATCTTCTTACATCTTGTTCTTTTATGCATCGATACACCACATATAACATTATTGCCATAATAACTGCTTAATTAACAAAAAAGTTGTTTAATATACAATGCTGATGGTAATAATTACAGCAGTTTGAGATATATAAAATAAGCGAGAGCAGGATATAAAGAATAAGAATTAAGTGGATGTTAAGAAGAAAGTAAATTAAGGTTGAAGTGATAAATATAGAAAATGGGATGAGAAATGTTGGAAAGTAGTGGCATTTGTAGTTAATAGTGTGATGACTTAAGTTGTTAGTAGATTGGATGTGTGGTTTATTAAACACCTATGAAAATAATATACGTAATTATATAATATGATATATACAAATATAAAATGATCTCTCTTCTTGAAAAATATATTTCTCTTGTGAATATTATTAACAAGATACTAAAAGAGTCTTTAGTAAAGAAACCTAATAGACATACTTTCTATGTTCTCATACCCCGTAAAGAGTGTTTCATAAGCTTTCATGACTGAACCCAGTTTTACTCAAAGTAATGCTACTTTCCTTATTCAGTCATACAAAACACATCCTCTGGCTTGATATCACCCTTTAAAATGTTAATTATTCTAGAGAAGTTTCTCCACGTAGTCTCTTTAGTAAAAGGGTCTGCTATATTATTTTCCCTGTTTATTTTAAATGTATCAATAGACCTATCTTGTGTTTCTTCTTTTGATTTTTCCAGTCTGAGTCCTATGAATTTTGTTCGTGTTTTAAAGTAGTCCTGTTTGAGTCAATCAATAGCTGGTGTAGAATTTGTTATTATATTAATGTTTGTATTTATATTTTAAAGATTCCCTTCGTTTTACATTTTAATAAAACAGCTTGATCTTCCCCCATGGTTGGAGCATCCAGTTCAGCTTCTGCTGATGACCCACAAACTATAGTGGATTTTTTGGAAAAACCATCATAAAAATTTTTACCAATCCATACGATAACACCACGTCAAACTCAGATCCCAATGATACATCTGCAACCACTGTGATGTCCAATTTATTCTCCTCGTCGCTTCTTATATATCTGGTATCATTGACATACTTCAACAATGTTTTGACTGCTTTAATTACTTTAGGATGAGGGAACAATCCTAGACGTAACAGCTTACCTAAAGCAAATTCTATATCTAATCTTCCTCTTGTTCTAATATAATTAAGTTTTCCAATCAATACTTGAAGCCATTTTATTTTTTCTTTTAATGTAGATTTCTCCATGACCAATTTATGTGTTTTGGGATATATAGCATACTTATGAAGGTTAGGTACGCTATTAGTTTTTTTCTATTTAGATACAATCTCTTTATATTCTTCAAACATTTTTCAATATATCTTGTAATATGCAACTGTATGGTTCCGTTTTCTCTGTTATAATTTAAATCTAAACCTGAGAGACCCGTTTCTAGTATATCGTGTTTCATAAAACCCAATTCTTTTAAAGCAAACTTGTTTTTTAGAATAGTCTATGTTGATCTAAAATATCAGCAACATACACAGCTCTCATAATTGATTTGTCTTCGAACACAAATAAACCAGGAGAATAAATAAAGTCATGCAGACCAATAGAATTCGTAAATTGTTCCAATGAATTATTCCAGTTCTATGGACTTTTTAAGGCCATACTTCTAACTTTCAAATGTATTTTGTCTTGCCTCTAAAGATTCCACATGATCCAAGTGACCTTTAATGTATATATATCTGAAATGCACCAGGAGAGTCTTAAAAATATTGATCATCTGTTGTCAATTGTTACACATATTTTACCCTTCTCTTTCTTCTAGTGTCATGTTACACCCTTGTGAAATATAATGATTTATTTTGGTTCTAATTTTCTTAAAACATTACTGGAACATTGGACAGTTGATGTTTCAGGCGTTTTCAATTTTATTTTATTTCTGGTGAGCTCAGTTACAGCATGCAATAAGGCAAGATATAAAAACTATTTGAAGAAATGGATAGATTATTCATATCGGTGGTGGGTTAGACATTGTGATAGAGTGGGTCTGTTAAATCAATAATAATAGTATACTAATACTTCTTCTGTGTATGATAATTATACATACTATAAGTCCAGATATGAATAATCTAATCTTAATTTATTTTTTACAAGACAAAAAATATTGGCTGATGTAGTAATGTGGTGGTGTCTCCAATATAGATAACATGGACATCTATGTATAGGGGACAAGGATATTTCGAATAATGGAACAAACGGATAGTGGGGGAAGAAAGGTGCGTAGGGGCCAAAATGTAGTGATACAGTATATACTCTTAGAAAGTATTAAAGATATGTATTTATCAGTTATACCCCTTAAAAGCATATTATCAGCTTACTTCTCTATATAAAAGAACGTAATAAAAGATATGGTAAAACCCAAAGAGCCACAAGAAAAGAATAGCTTCCTCTTAAATGAGATGCAGGGCTACGACGATATTGAACATTGATGCTGTTGTATGAGATTATCTCCCAAATATATTTTCTAGGGTTTCTGTATAAATCTTCCTAACAAGTAAATTTATAATTTTCTTGAAAACAGTGAAGATTAAGAAAAGTGACAAGAACGTTAAAATGAAATGTGTGAGATTACAAGAGTGGGAAACAAACATAAAAAAGGCAGAGAAAGGCAAATACTACAATATATTGAAAGAGAAGAAGATGTGTGAGAGTAGAAGAATAGGGGTGAGTATAGGTGTTGTAAGAGGAGGTAAATGAGGGCAGAGAAGTAGTAGAGGAGATGGGGGAATGTATGGAAATATAGATAATATGGTGAGAGAGAAGGTAAATATACATATTATAATGGAATATCTCTTAGGAAAAGGTAGAATGGTACACGGTAATAAGTGGTAAGGTAAGGAGGGTGTATGGGTGTTAGAACATAGAGTAGTAAACAAGTAGAGTAGATTAGAGTGAAAAGGTAGAGTAGATGGGGAGATGTATGGAAATATAGAAAATATGATGACAGAGAATATGAATATTCATATTATGATGGGTAGTTTGGACAAAAAGAGCAGAATGGTACAGGGTGAAAAGTGGTGAGGTAAGGAGGGTGTTTGGGTGTTAGAATATAGGGAAGTAAACAAGTGGAGTAGATTAGAGTGAAAAGATAGAGGAGATGGGGAGATGTATGGAAATATAGAAAATATGATGACAGAGAATATGAATATTCATATTATGATGGGTAGTTTGGACAAAAAGAGCAGAATGGTACAGGGTGAAAAGTGGTGAGGTAAGGAGGGTGTTTGGGTGTTAGAATATAGGGAAGTAAACAAGTGGAGTAGATTAGAGTGAAAAGGTAGAGTAGATGGGGAGATGTATGGAAATATAGAAAATATGATGACAGAGAATATGAATATTCATATTATGATGGGTAGTTTGGACAAAAAGAGCAGAATGGTACAGGGTGAAAAGTGGTGAGGTAAGGAGGGTGTTTGGGTGTTAGAATATAGGGAAGTAAACAAGTGGAGTAGATTAGAGTGAAAAGATAGAGGAGATGGGGAGATGTATGGAAATATAGAAAATATGATGACAGAGAATATGAATATTCATATTATGATGGGTAGTTTGGACAAAAAGAGCAGAATGGTACAGGGTGAAAAGTGGTGAGGTAAGGAGGGTGTATGGGTGTTAGAACATAGAGTAGTAAACAAGTAGAGTAGATTCGGGTGAAAATTGGTGTAGAGAGGGAGTGATGTATGGATATATAGATAATGTGATGACAGAGAATGATAATATTTATATTATGATGGATGGTTTGGAGAAAAAGGGTAGAATAGTACAGGGTAATAAGTGGTGAGGTAAGGAGGGTGTCTGGGTGTTAGAACATAGATAAGTGATATAAGAGGGAAAGTAAGAAATAAACAGATGAAAGAGTAGTAAGGGGTATGGGGAGATGATGAGAAGATGGAGAGTAGTGGTGTTTGTGTTAAATAGAGAGATGTAAATTGGAGGTGTGGATTATTAGAAAGGTATAGAAATAATACAGATAAGTTAACATGTTTATACATGAACAGAATTTGAGTGTCTTGTTGAAAAATATAATTGTGTTTTGATTATTATTAACAAGATAATAAAAGAGTGTTTGATAAAGAAAGGTCATAGAGTGAGTGTGTATGTTGTAAGAATAAGGAGATTTTAGATATGGTAAGAGTTGGATAATTATAGTGTTGTGGGGAAAGGGAGAGATTAGTGGTGGTGAAAATGGGAAAGTTGGTATAAAATGTATAAAAGGGGAGGGGAGAGTATGGATGAGAGAAGAAGTAGAGAGAGTAGGAGAGGGTGGTGGTGAGTAGTAGAAGATAAGTTAGAGATATTTTAGTTTTGGAGAGATAGAGAAAAGAAGATATTAGGATAAAGAGAATAGAAAAGAGGAATAGAGGAGAGTAAGAGAAGGGAGTAATGAAAAGAAGTAGAAGAAGTTGATGAGTAGTGAGATAGTGGGAGAAATATAGTAATAGAAAAAAGACATGAGAGAGGGTTCGAACAGTGGAAGAGAAATAATAATAGAGAAAAGGCATGAGAGAGGATAGATAGAAGAGACATATTAATAGAGAAAAGGCATGAGAGAGGATTCGAACGGTGGAAGAGTAGAAGGTATTGATGAGTGATAAAGAAATAAAAGAGAAAAGGCAGCAATTGGGATTCGAACAGTGGAAGAGTAGAAGGTATTGATGAGTGGTAAAGAAATAAAAGAGAAAAGGCAGCAGAGAGGGTTCGAACAGGGGAAGAGTGTAAATTAGAAAAGGGAGAGGTACAGTAGTAGAAAAAAGGCATCGGAGAGGGTTCGAACAGGGGAAAAGAGTGGGAGATAGAAGTGATGATGGGAGAAATATAGTAGTAGAAAAAAGGCATCAGAAAGGATTCGAACAGGGGAAAAGAGTGGGAGATAGAGATGGGTAGTAAACAGATAAAAGAGAAAAAAAGCGGCGATGAGGATTCGAACAGGGGAAAAGAGTGGGAGATAGAAGTGATGATGGGAGAAATATAGTAGTAGAAAAAAGGCATCAGAAAGGATTCGAACGGTGGAAGAGTAGAAGGTATTGATGAGTGGTAAAGAAATAAAAGAGAAAAGGCAGCAGAAAGGATTCGAACGGTGGAAGAGGAGAAGATAGAGATGGGTAGTAAAGAAATAAAAGAGAAAAAAAGCGGCGATGAGGATTCGAACAGGGGAAGAGTAAAAGATAGAGATGGGAGAAATATAGTAGTAGAAAAAAGGCATCAGAAAGGATTCGAACGGTGGAAGAGTAGAAGGTATTGATGAGTGGTAAAGAAATAAAAGAGAAAAGGCAGCAGAAAGGATTCGAACAGGGAAAGAGTGTAAATTAGAAAAGGGAGAGATATAGTAGTAGAAAAAAGGCATCGGAGAGGATTCGAACAGGGGAATAGAGAGTAAAAAAAGATGAGTAGTAAAAGAGTTAGATAATGAGAGTGTTGGAAAGTAGTGGTATTTGTATTTAATAGAGTGATGAGTTGAGTTATTAGTAAATTGGAAGTGTGGATTATTAAAAAGGTATAGATATAATATAGATAAGTTGATAAGTTTATAGATGGATATAAAGTGATGGTTGATATTTTTATTTTTCAAAAAAGAATTTTGTTTTGAATTAAGATTGTAGAGGATATAAATAGAAGAAAGTATAGTGAAGACAGATACTAGAGGTGGGAGTAAGGGAGTGTGGTGTTGATATAATATAGTGGT